TTTGTTTGTCGTATTTTGTTTGCGGGAGGAAAGCGCGGCGTGGCTGTGGTTTGCGTTCGTGTTTGGGAAATTCGTTTGTCGTTTGAGGGCGTGGGTTTGTCGTGAATGAGGTACTGGAGTAAATTATGCTTAGTATACGCGATTCACTGATATAATATATCTTTATAGTCTACCAACATATCAACTTTTTTTGTAATTTGTCGTAAATATTTGGTATCCTTAAAAAAAACGGACTAATATACCTTAAACAACATGCTATACCTTAGGAACTGATTTAAACAGACCTAAAAGATAAGAAAACTTACCTTATCGCATATGTATGTTAGACATTATGTGTCTTGTATGTCATAATTCCTCATTCGTAAAAAATGTAGGAATTAAGATATCGTAAATGCAGTATAAACACTAATTCATATATAATATTTAGCATAAATATATACATACACAGCTTCTCATATATCTAAATAAAATAACATATTTAAAAGCCTTTAGATACAAAGAATTCATATACGGTACTGTAAACGTACCTCCATATATAACGAGTAAACGTATAAATGCAGTACCAAGACAATTTTCTTCGAGTCAAGGGATTACAAGGCATTAAATTAGTCACTATTGAGAGCTCTTTAATGCACATTATCACGGGAGAGCTTCCGCAAGTTTCCCTCGTGCGTGCGTGCGTGCGTGCGTGCGTGCGTCGAATAGCCGAGTTTTTCCGAATGCATTGTGTGTGCTTGTGCTTGTATTTGTGTTTGCCGCTGTCGTCGTGAGTGCCTGTTCGTCCGTGTAGGTGCGTGCGCGTTTGTGCCTGTCATTAGGGAATTAAAAAGATGAACCGGAGAAGGCATCCCAGACACTGGACAGAAACACAGCAAGTTGCCATACAGAGTCTCACCTCAGTAACTTATGATTATAGAATAGTTTATAAGAGGTGCAATATGTAGATAACTATATAAGATAAGATAAGATAATGAAGTGTGTGTGTAGAAGCGGTTAGATGATGAAGAAAATAAAGTGTCTTACCAAAGATTTATATTAGGTTTAGGTATAAGAAATTATTCAGTCTGTCACAGGAACACTACCGAATTTTCGGACTCTGCTTGGTTCGTGGACCGTGCCGGATTTTCAGATTTGCCGGACTAACCGAAGCTACACTGATAATACTGATATACTCTCCTGACCCTATTATTTTACACTCCCCCTAACTCTAAATCTGTTTAAAGTTTATGAAATATTAAGTGATAATCATATACACAAATTAAGAGAAAAATAAAACTCAACACCCTATGTGGTTTAACTAATTTGGCGGGAAATTTTATTTTGATAGTTTGACCAGACTGAGAGGCGCCGGACCAACAGTTAGTGAAAAATCTATAGTGTACCTGTATTTTACAGTATTCCTTATATGTGTGATGACTATGATTTCTGAGAATGATAGCTGGAACAGCTAAATAAAATGCAGATTTCTTCTAAAATATATGAAATTTTATAACACTATGAACTCTGTCTTTCCATATATAATACAGTATTGGTTAGATATGAATTTTATGACCATGTATTTGAGAAACATATTTTAAAACGGCTTCGAATGTTCTTTATATAAAGGCAATTTCAGACTTCTGATATTTCTAAAATTTAAAGTAATACCTTTTATTTTTATACATATTGTAAAAACTGTACAGCACACTGTATAAAAGAAATACACTGAATATCGTGTTTTACTCTTGTGTAGTACCTCAGAAAATTGATACTTCCCACCGTTAAAATAAAATATAATTAAAACACACTATTTTTATGGATACAGAAATGCACCGGAAATTGTCCCGGCAGCTTCATTTTAAGTTGACTCAAGGAGACCAATATCGAAAAATAGCGACAAAAAAAAAGAAAATATAATAATAGTAATAATAAAATAAAATGAAAAAAAAAATGTTTTGATGATCAGAGATATGACTATTTAATAGGATTGATGTAGGGTTTCCAAGGCCCAATGATTTTTTTTTGTTTTTTTTCGTTGCTCTTTTAATATCATCACAAAACTTTGATGATTTCTTACTTGAGAGGATATTTATAAGAAAAAAAGAAAAACTTTCACTCCTTATGCCCATTGTTTTTTGCCCCTAAAAAATAATTTTGAGATTTCTTTTAAAATGTCATTTAAATGGCTTCGTGTGGATAATTTGAATCGAATTATGCTTAATTACACAAGTGGTGAAGCATATAATATTTTTTTATATACATAGGCATAAATAAAAAAAAAAACACTTTCATCAGAACTTTTAATAGCTTCCTTATATTGCAAGAAAAAAATGAAGAAAACGGAATCAGAACTTTTTTTTTCTTTCTTTCTTTTGACTATTTCATTTTCACATATTTGATAAAAAATACTTTTGTTGGCGTCGGTGGATGACAGTCAAATTACAGTAAGGCTGGAAAGCAGATGATTTTCAAGAACAAGACACAAAGAATCCCAGAAGTATAAGCCCACACTGTAATGGGTAATTGTAGATGTGGGAATGCCATTACTGAGCCGAGTCTGATAACGAGCGGCTTCCAAACGAGCTCCTTAATTGCTCTACAAACAATGTAACTTTCTTGTCTCTGAGAAATGAAGTCCGTCTGACGGAGGCATTCTGGGCGGACTGCGACCTCTGCTTGTAGAAAGTGTGTGTATGTGCGTATGTATACACACACACACACACACACACACACGCACACGCACACGCACGCACGCACGCACGCACGCACGCACGCACGCACGCACGCACACACACACACACACACACACACACACACACACACACACACACACACACACACACACACACACACACATATATGTATTCAATTTGGTGGGATTAAATGAGAAAAAATGGTTCATTCATAAAAGTATTCTTTATTACAATAAATCCATACCACTTGCTGTAACAAAATAGCTTTATTATTCTATGGAATGATAGAAGCTTGTGATATACATGATATTGAAAAATTTACATACTAATGAGAATATTCCATAACATACCCTGTTCCAATATCATCATTAATATTCATCATATTTCACCTCCAGCATTTATTATTGTCAAGTCTTGGTCTTTATGCTCAAAATTCCATAACTCTAATAATGAAAATCCTTTATTTCCTGAATGGGAAAATCTAGACACAGTTCAAAAATATTACCAGCTTTTACTAAACTAAAAATATAGAAAAATCATACACTGAATATTTTGAATATCAAAATAACTAAAAATATTGATTAAATATTTTGAATAACTAAAAATATTGATAAACAACCAATACATTAAAAAGCCTGTATGACTATGTGAAATATTAGAAAGCTTTTTGGTTGCATAATTAATTGATTTTATCCTATTCTACATGAAAAGTAATAATTCCCAATATATTTTCCAAACTTAATATGCGTATTCATTTCCAACAAAATCAAATCCTAATTTCCATTATCTTGATTTTACTTTAGTTTTAGCTTCATGTCTTCCAAAGGAAAACAAGAAAAATGAGGAAAATACAAAAACTTAAATGCTCATGCAAAATGCTACAAAATAAACAAATGATATTGAAAGAACGGAAGATTTCCAGCTAATAAGATTAACTATTAATAAAGAAAAAAATTATGCTCAAAACTATCTCATACTTAGTATATATTATTATCACACACTGTTTATATGCATTATTATTATATTATCACCAAGCTACCTAGTAGCTTTAACGACTTCATCCTTACAAGAAATATCCTTCTCATTTACAATATACTGCATCACAGATGTCACAGAAAAAAATGTGTCATACAAGACTGAATTTTAAAACTAAACATGAGTGACTTGTTGGTATGGCTAATTTTCCTTTACTGTTGTTTGTCCTTTTTCTTTTCCTCTCTTTATATTACAGTGAAATACCCATTAGTTTAAAATGTTTGAATGTGCTTTTGAAACTTATGTGCTAGTATTGATTTGCATTTGCTCCCTCTTTCAGAAGAAAACATTAATATATAACAGATTTCTGAGTAATGACAATAAAAAGATGTTTTTGCTTTTGTTTTGAAAGTTAAGAACACCATACATATTGGGTGAAATATACCGACCAAAAACCCCAAAGTTTCCATCTTGGTTACCATCAACAACCTCTTTATAGCTGAAAAGTTAGTAATTCAATGTTTGCCATATTCGACACTAACAGTACAAGTATGACACAAGAACTACTGTATCAACAACACAAAAGTTGTTATACATATGTAAAAACAAAATACAAAAAGAGCTACATCATCTATGAATCTTCAAAGCCTTAACAGTAAAGACAGAACTGACAAATATATTACAAAATATTGCAACTTTTACTAGAGTCCCCTATTGTATAAAAAGTACATGGAATAGATTAAAATCTTAAATCACTGACTACTTCATCTGAGAATCAAATTCAGCAAAATCAATAATGGAATGGTGATATCAATATATAAGAAAAATATATAAACTTTTTATACAAATGATTATAGATTCATCCTGTAATATACTACTGAAAGGATATTTAAGTACAGTATTAATAACTGTTTACACTTTGATTTAACACACAGTTTAATGCATTGCAGCCTTTAAAATGCTAGAAATAATTGAGCTCCTTAGGATTACTATAATTTATTAATGATGTGAAAAAATCCTAACATTTAGACAGTTTACCTTATAATTAAGATATAACAATGTATCTATATGTGCATATAAATACTTAGTATTAAATACCATATATTCAGTAACATGATTATCATTTTGCAAATAGCATTAAAAAGAAGACAATATGTGAAGTAAGCAAGATTTAGATTTATGTATAGTTTACATATATTTTTTTTACACTCAGCAACACTGACATCATAATTTTTCATTTAGTGAAAAAAGATAACACAAATAATAAGAAAGTAAGTAAATAAGTTATCCAGAAAAATCAAGTTGAAGTGGCATTATAAAAAAAAAAACATGGATTCTTCCCAAACACCCTATGAAACATAATACCGACTAATAAATAAAAATGCTTATTAAAGTAAATCCCACCAAATTTCTGTCATTATCTGTTTTTCTGGATCAACAAAGGACACATAACATTCCTCTTCCACATAAGCTATACTCCTCCCATATCTCTAAGTCATGCTATGAAGTTCTGAACTTAACAAAAGAAAAATGAAATGAGAGAAGAAAAAATAGGCGATCGCCACCATGAGGAACTAATGTTATGACAGTATGGAAAGGTCAAATATCCACTATTCCATCCGGATTAAAAGAGGTTGCCGGACCATCAGCTGCAGGAAATATGACCATCTACTTGTATATCACTGTTTACTAAAAAATATATAGATATTCACACTGTACACTTATCTTGTTGAATGACTCGGATCCCTTTAGCTTGCAGGGAGCAATATTATCAATATTATACATAAACTTATTCTTTATCTATTATCTATACACTATGTATTAAATAATTAATTATTCACTTTTACAGTTGCATACAATATGCATTAATTCATTCATTACCTCATATATTTATACAGTGCTTATCATATGCTTATCACTTAATCGGCTATTAAACCCCTTTTTTACTCTCCATTTATATTTTGATTATTCACCTTTGTTTCCTGAATCATTCAGCTTATTTTCATTTGTTCATTAATTTTATTTCTTATCATTCATTCTTCTTTATAAGCCTTTGTTCTCTATATTAACAGGTTATCCATTCAGCTTTTTGTATTTCTCCTTTGTTAAAGATGCTTTCTGAATAATTTATCATCTACCTTTACATCATCCACTCATCTTCTTCAGCTTTCATTCATGTTATTCATTATTACCTTCTTCCTATTTGCATTTTTACTCATTTACCTACCATTCATCCATATCTTTCTTAGCCATTTCTTTTATCTTTACTCTTTTATTTGTTTATTCTTTTTTCCATGATCATTTTGTTTTGTTGGTCATTCATTACTTTATCGCATTCATCCATCATCAGCTCTTTTTCCTTATTCATCTGCCATTTAATTATTATCATCATTCCACCATCAAGTCTCATTCATCCACCCTCTGTATCTATCGTTCAATCGTATTATTCACCAACGATTTATTCAAAATTCCACCATTAAATTATTCTTATTTATCCCCAACCACAATCACCGTCCTTTGGCCCAATCCACATGCTCAAAGTTCCACCTTTGTGATGTGCTGTATGTGTCACACATGCTGAGGGAGAGGGTGTCGGGGTTGCTCTTGGAAGGGAGGTCGAGGCACCAGCCAGTCTGCTTGTGCTGGACCTGTTGTGGTGGAGGGAGGGATTAGTCTATTGGTTGGCTGATGGCTTGATTTATCAGCTGATGGATTGATGGATTAGTTGATGGATTGGCAAATCACACCCAGTGAAGATATAGACATAGAAATGTCCTCTGCAAGATCTTAATCAACTGATTTATTATTATTTTCTACTATGTCGATGCAGCTAATACTATAATGGACAGAATTTCTCTACACACAAGGACAAAGTAGTGTGAATCTATGAAACAAAGTGGCCTTAAAATTAATTCTGTATGAAGATCTATGTTTATCTAAATATCACTGCCATCAATGTTGTTATTTTTGCCATCAATATCCATACTGTTACGGGCAGTATCGTTACTGATACTCATCATGTATTGCACTATGTACTGCAATCAATAGTGAGCTTTGATCATTACTGCTATTATTAAAATGTTTAATGCAACAGCAGCATTACTACTGTTATAATTTCTATTGCAATATCATCACTCCTAATCTTGTAAATATAATTGTAATATCAATATCACTACAACTCATACTATTCCTGTAGCTATAAATATTCCTCTTCTATACCTGCTTAGTGTCCTCCTTGTAGGTCCACTTCTGCCTCTCATATTCATTGCAGGCCATGATGCGCACCTGCGGATTCTTGGCTGATTCTGCGTCTGGGGCGTCTAAGCACACACTCTCGTCAGTCATGATGTAGCCTTTATTAGAGTGGAATGGTAGGGAGAGAAAAAGTTGTTTAAATTGAATTGGTAATCTCACAAGGTATTTAGCTACTGAGACTATAATCAATATGAAATTTTGATAAGCATCTAATATGTAATATATATATATATAATATATATATATATATATATATATATATATATATATATATATATATATATAATATATATATATACATATATACATACATGTATATATAAATATATATATATATATATATATATATATATATATATATATATATATATATATATATATATATATTTATATATATATATATATTATATTATATTATATATATATATATATATATATATATATATATATATATATATATATATATATATATTATATAGTATATGTATATATACATGTATATCTATATATATATATATATAATATATATATATATATATATATATATATATATATATATATATATATATATATATATATATATATATATATATATATATAATACATATAATATATATAATATATATATATATATAAATATATATATATTATATATATATATATATATATATATATATATATATTATATTATATATATTAATATATATTATATATATTATATATATATATATATATATAATATATATATATATATATATGTTATATATATATAATAGGAAGGAACATATTCAATTATGACAGTTTATAATGCAACAGCACATATTTTTATCCATCATGATATAGCCTACACTAAGGTGGTGAGAACTGATCTTAGATATCAACTGGAATAAGATGTATCCTGTAATATAATGTTTTGCAGACTCTTGTGCAGAATATTGAAAAAAAAATGGTCACAACTTTATCTGTTTATCTAGTATTGTTCAAAACCAAATATAAGACCTATGTGACAAGCTTTTTAATCCAATTTGTGATTTTCATGGAATACATTATGGAAAAAAACAAACACAAACCAAAAACACTCAAAATGTTCAATAATCATCATATTGAATAACAAAATAATTAAATAATAAAACCACAGCTTTACCTTTCTTACTAAATACGAAGATCTGCGATGGGTAAACCTCATAGACGCACTCACGCAAGACAGCCGTGCCTGTGGGTTGGTTTGAGCCCCCTTTACCCATTGGCCGCTGGAGACATTTGCCCAGAGAGTCGTGGCGGATCTGGCAAGGTATGGAAAAGTTTAGGTATGTGTCATTATTATTATGTCTGAACAATGTCAGCAAAATATAATTATTATGTAAAATGTAATATTAGCTGGAACCAGGTGTGAATCAGGGATGTTTCCCAGGGGGTATGGGTGCATGAGTCAGTCTGAATGAGTAATATGGGAATGCCAAGCACTAAATACATGAGGCAGTTAACAATAGGGTCTGCAGGGAGAGGCAATATTGCAGAAGCCTTTCCTAAGTGTTTTGGAGGAGATTGTGGTACTTATCTTAACTTATGCTGTAGAAATGACAACATAGAACAAGTAGGAGATACAAGCTCTCATAGTTTCAGTAAGGTAAAAGATGTTTACATATAAATATAGCTAAAAATTTATGGCCAGTGATAGCAGAGATGGCATTATTTATCATTACTGTATTTCATGAGAAGTTGATATCATATTTGTATTGATATGTTTCTGATATATGTCATACTACTACTATTAATAATAATATTACTAGTGTTATTATTACTGATATATCATATTCTGGTATCAACAATATTTATATAAAATCTATAGGAAAAAAGAAAAGAAAAAAAGGGAAAATAGTAAGAAATATGCATATATATATATCAGTCTACCTATCTACCAATCACTTTATATGTTTACCTATCTAATATATGACAGCAGTACCAGATTACCCACCTTGCCCACAAATCTATCTTTTGCAGGGAAGAAATTTTCTGGCCAAATATTCTGTAAATACCACTCAAAAGTATGGCAACTGAGACGGTCTCGAAGCATAACTCGATCTTTCACAACAACATCATTTCGGACTTTTGCTGCCTCTGCAAAAGAGGGAATATGATATGTAGCTGGCATAATCATTTTGGTGTCATCAAATAAACATAAAGTCAATTTCTCTAAAACCCTATCTCTTTCTGTTTCTTTCCTTCCTCCCTCCCTCCCTCTTCTCTCTCTCTCTCTCTCTCTCTCTCTCTCTTCTCTCTCTCTTCTCTCTCTCTCTCTCTCTCTCTCTCTCTCTCTCTCTCTCTCTCTCTCTCTCTCTCTCTCTCTCTCTCTCTAGAATAGTTATGTAGCCATGTTTCTCTTTTACTTTCTGCACATTGTTGATTCCATATCTTTATTCACTTCTGTTTCATATATTTCATATTCATTTCTACCAATTATTGTACACATTTTCCCACATGCATACACCATATTTTCACCATCCTAATAAATGCAGATTGCAGTGACATTGCATTTAAATACAAGTCATGTATTTTTTTTTCTTTTTTAAAGGGTACTCTAAACAGAACACAGGAATGAATATGTTATTCTAAAAAAAAAAATCATCCTAGCCACAATATAATTCAAATTCACCCATTACCAAATTGCTACTCAGATTCTGAAATGGATCTGGATCCCATACTTTAAACATACTTAGTCTGATTGTAAAACTCAAGTGTACCACATAATCAAAATTACTGTTCTAAAAATATAAGCACATGCAAGCAATGATTTTGATATAGATTTAAAGCAGTCAAAAAATGTGACATCCTTGCACTGTTTTTAAACCAGAAATCAGTCACATTCTCCATGGAAATCTTTTGCCAAAATCACATACCTACTATCAATAAAGGATAATACTCCCTTTGTAAGGCATTATATAGATATAGCTGGAATGATAAAAAACAACCACACAACTTCACTTTCAAGACACTGTTTATAGTTAACACAGAAATCAACCCAACTCTTACATGTCAACTACACTTACCTGCATTAATTTTGAAGTAAAATTCAGCCCAATCGTCAAGCCAGACCAGAGCAACACGTGCAAGATTCCTGTAGAGGACGCCCCCTACTCCCCCTTCCCCAGGGAACGTATAGGGAGAGCTCTTTCTGAATACATGGCCGACGTGACTGCAGGGGGCTATCTCAATCGAACCGCCACACATCCACACCTGAGGAATGGCGTTTGTGTTAGGCTTAAAATGTAGTGTAGGGTACTTAATACACATCTGATTTCATATCAATACCGTGTCTCTAAATGATGTTCTTTATACTAAGGAAAAAATTTTCATCCAGTTAACATATGACAAACTGTGTATTTTATATTGACTAGTATTGCAAAAGAAGTCTGAATGAAAAGAAGTTAATTCACAATTTTGATGAAAATGTAACAAATATGTACAAAAATTGGTGAGTAATATACTCACCAAATAGATTATTGTGAAACTGTATTTTTTTTTTTTTTTTTTTTCTACTGTACTGTACATATTATCAAAATGTCACGGTATATCAAATTACCTATTTAAGAACTACTTGAACTCTCTCTTGACATTTTCTTGATTCTAGAAGTATAATCTTTTAAATACATATGCAAGCATAAACATTTGTCTCTTTATAAATATATCAACCATGGCATAAATACACCTTACAATTAGTGAAAAAATCATATATATAAATAATTTTATCTAATAGAACTTTCTTTCTTTATCCTAGTATTATCATTAAAAAAAAATAATTTCCATACCCTGAAGGACATTTCGAGGTTCTCTCCACCCCAGACATCCATATTACGATCATAAGCGCCAATTTTGTAGAAATAGTCCTTGTGGATACTGAACAGCCCTCCTGCCATGGCTGGGGTCCTGGGATGAGAAAGTGGAGGTTGTTCAATGCCATGATAAGTTCAATGATGTTAAACATGTTGAATGGCATGTGGTAGTTTGTATAAATTCTATGATGGAAATTACAAATTCTTAGAATTTGATGGAGTGATGAGCTTATATCACAGTAAAAGACAAGATTACTACAAATATGCTAAGAATATACATATATACATCAAGTGCAAAATGCCTAAATATATATATATATATTATATATATATATATATATATATATATATATATATATATATATATATATATATATATATATATATATATATATATATATATATATATTTTCACTGCAGTTATCCATGCTGTAAATACAACAATGTGTTTCACAGGCTCTAACATAAAATTGAAGCTGAAAAGTGCCACAAGACATCCAAGAATTGATGTATAGTAACCCTAAATGAACTTGATATTTCCTGTTATTCTGTAATGCTAAACAGGAATGAAATCTCACATTCCATTAAAGAGTCATCACTGCAAACCATTTTTTTTCTGGATTTTTTTTTTCTATTCTTTTCTATTTACCAGAGTCTGTAGAACAAAGTAAAAATAGCAGCACATTTCAGCAATTTGACTTTATATTTATTTACATATACATGTCTTAAAAATTGTCCATTTCACAGAGGAATTCCACTCACCTATAAGCTTCTGTAATATCTTTCTTCCTTTGATCGAGTTCCTTCTGCCCCAGGGTGTACCAGCGGAAATGGAGGTTCCAGTTGAAGGCACCCCAGTGGAGCTCAAAAGACTTGACGTACTGGAAGGTGTCTTCGTGAATGATGTCAATTATAGGGCACACTACTCGCTTGTTATCTTCAGCAATTCTTGATAACAGGGGTTCCAGCCAGCCTGTAATGAAGGGAATGATTATACTCCTAAAGTCATAAAATTGCAATATAATTGAGGGTTTGTCAGAATGATGTATACTCTAAAACTTTATGATGATATACAATAGTAAAATCTGATTAATGATAGATTACAATAACAATGTTAATATAATCATTATAGCTAATAGTTTGGAATTCTTACACTGATATATCATATGAAAATAATAGTAATGATAACATTATAAAAAAGTTTACCATATCAACATCAAAGTAATAAGATGTATTATGTGCTAAAAAGATAAATGTATATACTAGTAAACTCTCCTCCCTTCTAAATTTAGAAAAACGAATGTTTGGTTTATGACCCCTTTTCCCTGTGTTTCTTTCCCTCCCTCTCCCTCTCTCCCATGCTTTTTCTTTCTTCCTCCCCCTACCCCACCCTTCCTCTAGATCGTCATCGTGCCCCAGTCCTTACCTATAGTGGCCTCGCAGTGGGCGTCCAGGAAGGTAAGGACCTCCCCCTTGGCCTCCTGCGCCCCTAGGAGCCGCGCCCTGATCAGCCCCGTCCTGCTGGGGGACCGGATCACGCGTACGGGGACAGGGAGCTTGGATACGTACTCCTCCAGGGGCTCCTGTTGAGGTGGAGTGGAGGATGAGTTTGGTTAAGTGGAGGATGACCTTGATGAAGTGGAAAGACTTTGCCGGAGTGGAGAGAATTTGGTGGGAGTGAAAGCTGAGTTTAGTGGAGTAGAGGCTGAGTTTGTTGGGAGTGGAGGCTGTTTGGTGGGAAAGGAGGATGGGTTTTGGTGGGAGCGGAGGCTTAGATTGGTCTTTTAGTTTTATTGAATTATTTGTTTGTGTACATTGGCTTTTGGTCATTGATTGTTTGTTCGGTCAGGTTAATTGGTCTTTGGTTTCTGATTAGAGGTTTATTGGTTACAAGTTACAGGTTGTTTATTATTTTATGGTAACGTATTGACTGACCAATCCAAAAGTCTGTGTGCGCCACGATGGAAATCCTGCTCAAGCAAGCATTCAGAATTGGGTTCCTTACGCAAAGAACGGTCGATTTTCAATGAAAACGCCTCCCACGAAGTATAACGCCGATAAATCCATTTAATTATCACCCTCTCGAGCTATCGCAGGATGCTACATAAGGAGGCCACAGTTGAGTAAATAGTGACGCTGTTGCTACCGCCTCTTTTCAAGCGCAGCGGAAGGCGGTCCTCTAGTCCCATGACGGCTGCCGATTTATTTTAACGGTTCCTATTAGAGGTCAAAGATAAACAGGTAGCTAAATTCACAAAGTTACAGTGGGAGAGATGCTTAAATGCTCACGGTCTTCTCGTCCTCCTCATTTCTCATCGATTAAGATAACGGTCAAGTGTTTTCTCACTCCCCGGGAGATGGTGTGAGATCTCCCGCGTCACTCACGCCAATAAATGACCGATTTATTTAATCCATGTTTTTTCCACTAATCTGAGCGTCATATGAGTGGTTGCTATGATAATAATAACATTATTATTATTGTCGTTGCTGTTGTTAGCTGTAACATTCCCACGTCATTCACGTCAATATATCAATTTAATATATGGCAAAATTTCCTACTAATCTGAGAATTATATGAATGAAAATAATGGTAATACTTATAATGATTATTATCATTATTGTTATTATTGTTGTTGTTGTTGTTGTTGTTCCTGTTTTTGTTAGTAGTAGTATAAAAAAACAATGTTAATAGAAAAAATGTGTCGCTATTTCTAGAACTACTGCAAATAATAATAATTATAAATTATTATATTAATAATAATCGTAATAATATTGATAATGAAAATATATATATACCTTTATTATCATTATCATTATTACCATACCCACCCTCATCATTATCATTACCCATATTATTGATATAATAATATCAATAATAATTATTATGATCATAATCATTATTTTTGTATCATTAGCACTATTATCATTATTATTGATTGTTATTATTATCATTATTGTTATTATTATCATATTCGTTATTACTATTATTGCCATTATTACTAAATAACTACTCATGAGCTCCTGAGGCTAATCTAAGGTCGTAGTAAATATTTGATCCCAAGACTACAAAATACGAACCGTATTCATGTTGACAAATGTGGAAAGGTATGAATGAGAACGAATATCTTCACAATACAAGAGATGTATTTAATCGAAACTGGTTAAATACATCTCTTGTATTGTGAAGATATTCGTTCTCATTCATACCTTTCCACTACAAAATACATAGAAGAGCAACAGCCGAGAACGGATCCCGGCGTCATACACATAACGGGGTCCTAGAGTGATGTGAGTGAGAGAGAGGTAGAAAGAGAGAGACAGAGAGAGAGAAAGACATTCACACACACCATGGTTAGTGGTCACTGGGTTCTGATGTGTCCTTGGTTCTGTTAATTGCAGGTTTATTCTTATTCTTGTGAGGATTTATTGGTTTTGTATTCGTTTATCTGTTTGTTTTTATGTTTTATTGTAATTATGATATTTTATTTTGTATTTTATATTGTTTAGTGCTTCTTGAATATTTATTGTTGACCATTTGGGATGGTTTGTTATACCTGCTAGGTGGTGATGCTAATGATAATAATGATAATAATGATGATGGCAACGATGAGGACAATGACGATAATGATGAAGATAACGATGATAATGGTGATCTTGATGATGAGAATAACTATGATAATGGTGATCTTGATGATGAGGAAATTAACGATGATGATAGTGATGATGCCAATGATGATAGCAATGAAAAGGATGATGATGACAATAATAATGATGATGATAATGATATTAATAATGATCCAATGAACACAAAAATAACCAACCTTGAGGAAGGTCCTTTCGGAGGCGTCGTCCACCAGCAGGATCTCCCTCAGGAGCTGCCTCGGCGAGCGGGAGATGACGGAGTGGACGGTCCTCAGGAGGGTCGACCAGGCCTCGTTGTGGAACACGATGATGACGGAGGTCGTCGGGAGGGACGACACGGCGAAGGTCTTGTCGTGGCACCTGCGGGGGGAGGGGGGACGGAGGGGGAAGGGGAGGGGGGGGTCATCGTATTTTTCTCTTGTGTATGTGTTGCCGTTTTGTTTTTTGTTGTTGTTTTTTTATATATGTATATATGTGCGTGTGGAAATATATACATATATATATGCCTATATATACATACATATATACATGCAAATATACACATACATACATATACATATGCCTATTTATGTGTGTGTGTGTGTCTGTGTGTTTAATAGTATAAACACGCATGTACACATATGTAT